GGTCGTCGATGGCGTGGGAGATGGTTAGATGATTCTAGGGTTGGATTAATGGAAGCCGAAGGGAGATGGGTTTTTGTTGGATAAGGGTTAAAATGGTAATTTACTATTATTCAGAGAACAATTACCAAACAACATTATTTCATTCAGTACTTAATCATTCTGACCCTTTTAACCATTTTGACCTCTTAACTATTCTGCACTAAACCATTCAGCAACTGCCAAACAGCCCCTAAATAATTATGAAAAGCACGGTTTTTATCGACGTGTCTTCATGTTTTTACTAATGCTATTAATCGTTCGATGTGTTTTTAGCCTAATTCCACTGTTTCATGGGATTTTAAAGTTTTTTGGTTGAATTCGAGGAATTTTTAGTTTTTTTTTATCGATTTCGAGGGGTTTTTTTCGGTTGATTTCAAGCGTTTTTTTTTTTTTTTTTGTTGATTATGAGGCACGGTTGCACCTTCTTGAACTTTTAAATATCACACGGTGGCACATTCTAAAATGATATGGTTGCACTTTTTATAAACATAAAAAATTTAACCTATTAGCAGAGAGATAATACGGTGACACGTGCCACTGTATGCCCTTCTATGGGTCTATCCATGACTCTTCCTATGGGTTCGAACATAGGACCTTCAGACACTTTTGACCTTTGAAGCTCAAGCTACCAATCAGACATCATCTTTGTGATTATCATTTAAATACAATTGTTTTTTTAACTATAGTGGAAAATGATGTTTTTTGGGTCTTTGTAGTTTGACCGAATCAATCATCCGCGGACGGCATTAACATATGGAAGCCTTTCATCCGTGGCTTCTTTGCTTTCCTTCACTAAAAAAACAACCTTAAATTCACAACTATTCTATCCACCAACTCGATCGATCTTTTTTCGAATCCATTCGGCTGATCAATGGCACGTGTTTTCGGCTCGATCATGCTTCTCGCTCTCGGTTTCTCGATGGCCATGGCAGCGGACCATAGTCCGCTTCAAGATTTTTGTGTTGCTAACACAAATGGCCAAGGTACCGTGATTGTTTTCATTTGTTTTTTTCTGTGATTTTTTGGTTTAGATTTTGATGTTATAATTACGTTTATTATGGCAGTTTTGGTGAACGGAATGACTTGCAAAAACCCGATTATGGTTCAAGCCAGTGNGACATTATTCTTATTTTTCAATTAAGTTTGGTTATAAAATAGACGGAATTTAATATATAACTTTCTTTTGTATCAAAATATCGTTGATTAAAATCAATATTCATTTTAATAGTGTACGTGATATGTCGATTTAACGCATTTAGATCTGTCGATTTTTTAGTGAATAGAGATGTTAATTTTGTCTCTCGTCTTTCTGAACGTTTCATATTAGTAACATCAAAAAAAAGCTGAATGGGCATTTACCAAATGCTTATTGGGTAAGCGCTTATCGGATTCTGAACTTTACCTGGTAAGAGGAATAGTAAAGATCGAAAATCTTACCCGATAAATGAGTGAGAAGACTCTTACTCAATAAACGCTTACCGGGTAAATAATGCTTACCGACAATCTATTTTTATAGTAAAAAATATTACTCAATAAGATAAATGAGGATGGTTTCTCTTACTGGCAAACACTTACCCGATAAATGATGGTTAAACGGCTCTTAGCAAAACAAGAAACCGGTTAAAAGTGAGACATAATCAAATGTTTACACTCTGTTATATTACTTTAGGAAAAAGTTTCAAATAATGGGCCGTTTACTAAACGCTTATTTGATAAGTTCTTACCGGATAAATTAACTCATCGGATAAACATGACAAGAGCCAAAATTTTATCGGGTAAGAGCGATCAGAAGGATGAAAAGTCTTACCGGAAAAGTGAAGATTACGACTCTTACCCAGGTAAGCGCTTACTAGATAAATTGTTGCATTCGATACGTTTTGATGTACTAAAATCTTACGCATCAAAATAAATTATAGTGTTGACTCATATCAATAAGCACTTACCAGGTAAGCATTTAGGTGAACAGCTTTTAACTCAATAAACTTTTTCATTTGAATAATTAAGTCAGTGAACCTCTTTTTGAATGAATTTGTTATTGATTTTTATTTTATTTTGAGTAATTACATCTCTTAAAATTTCTTTTTGAATAAATAAATTATCGAATTTTTAAAAATTGGTTACCTATATTCTTTTAATCTAAAAAAATACATATAACCAGCTAAGAAGCTTCTTTTAAAAAATTCTATCAATTTTATCATTCCCAAACTCTTTGCACCAAACGGCATCACGCCACGCATCACCGTCCATTCTTCATAGGGACGGACCCATCATTTTTTTATATGGTGAGACTATATAATATAGAGAATAAGGGGCTGTTTGTTTCCCTCTTAATGGTGACATTAAGAGGGAGCCTCTTAATCGTTCAGAGGTTTAGACTGTTTGGCAAAAAAAAGAAACCTCTTAATGGTTACTAAAAGGCTCTTAACCATTTTGCATATGGGAAGTCT